GTTTTGTTTTCCATATGATTTTCTAGAGTTTTTTTTTCTTTAAGGTTTACATGTTCAAATATTTAGTTTTTTAATTAAATGTCTCATTGATATTGTGTACCTATGCATGTATAATTCATGATTCATATTGATTTGCATTTAGGTTTGTTAGGAAGCTGCAATGATCATGCTAAGCTGTTTCTTGCTTCTACTTCAGGTCTACCACAGATTTCAACTTATATTTTTATTCATTTTATTATTTAAATATTATTTTTTACAGTCTAATATTTGAAATTTTTAATTTTGAAACTTGTAGGATTGATAGTGTGGAGTCTTCGCATTATTTTTTACTATATTTATCTTTTGTGTGTTTTCTGCATGTTTCATTTGAATATATTAGCTTCATATACTAATTTGTGTATGATTCATAAATCTGTCATACTTTATTATTTAAATAAAATTTTAGAATATGTTACTCATGTGTTATTAATGTTGGTTCAGATATAAGTAGTAGCTATGTATAAAAATCAGTTTCTATTACTTGTTAAATTTTAAGCGTAAAATTACTTATGTAGTGTTTTTCTTTGTTATTTTTAAATCAGAAACACACAGTGTTTTAATCTTGGTATATTTAAAAAATTTATTTGATTTAAAAACTCATGTAAACCGATTGCAATTTTAGATAGTTATTCATTATCAATACCACTATTTTAGAAATCAGGAAAATTTTGAAACTGATTTTAAGTTAGTTTTGGTTAACTTTTTATATATACTTTACATCTTTTGAGAGTAATTTTATATTTTGTTTTAATTTATACAATTTTTGTATGTTTGATATACTTAATATTTTTTATATAAAGCTCCTTTATAGTTGAATTTCAAATCAGGTAGCAAATACATCAAGTTAATTTCTTGTATACGAATACTTTTTCTTTGTTAAATTTGTTTTTTCATATTAATTTTCATTTTAGTTATAATGCTGATTTGATATGCTATAACAGTTCATTTTAAATCTAATGCAGAATTCTCTCAAAAGCTTATAACATCATTTGGTTTTTCTTAGTTAAGTTTTTTTATGTTGATTTTTTAAAAACGTTAGCCTAAATATTAAGTGAGTTTTCTTTTATATAATATTTTTTTGTTAATTTACCTCTTCTGATATTAATTCTTACTTTATTTTGAAACATCTTTTTGAAAATATTGGCATTTTACACACATAATTTTATTTTTCTGTTAGTTAATTTTTAAATAATCAGTTTTTTAGATGGTTTTAAAAAAAAATTCCGATATTATTTTTTATATTTATTGTATGTACATTCTGTAAAACATAATTAACCTTTTATTTTCATATTGGTTTAATATTTTTATTTTGAATTTTCTTTTAATTTAACCTTTTTTTTTATTGATTTCCAAATTTGTTTTTTTGTTAATTTAGATTTTGTGATATTGGATTTCTATTTTATTTTGATTTCCAAACTTGTAAAATGTTAAATCATATGTATGTATTTACATATAGTTCTTAGAATAGTAAATATAAAATAATTAGTTATCTTAAATTTATAATATTATAAAAATTAACACAAATTTTTAAATCAATATGAATTTTAATATCCCTGAATTTTAATATATAATATAATTTATTATAACTGATAGTAAATATTAATCTCATTTTAAGTGATGTAGATTTTAATATCATTTATTTTAACTGAAATAATAATATCACTTATTGCAAATGATATATATTAATTGATATAAGTGATGAAAATAGTTGCATCATTAATAATATTGATATAAATAAATAGCATTACCACTTCCAGAGTCATTTAAATAAATACACAACTGAATTTGCATCAATCAAAAAATGATATTAACAAATAAAATAAATGATACAACACACATAATTTCTTGTATTGAATCCTCATTTTTTTTTTTTTTGAAATGAATGTTAAATTTATTCACACGAAAAAAACTGTTTAAAAATTTCCGCATCAGTTTTTGAAAAAAATAGAGCACAACTTAGGGACTATTTTTGAAACCAGAAAAACTTGAGCAAGCTTCTTAAATCTGAAAAGTGGAGATGAGATCTATTGTTGAATCTGAGCTTTTTTAATACTCATCTTATCTCATCTTGTTCACTCATTCAACTGAAAAGTAAAGTATCTGTAATCAAGATGATTTGATACTCTTTTGGAAAAACATGATATTTTTTTCTTTTGACAAGTCACAAATGTTACAGTATGAACATGCAGCACCTTCTTTTTTAAAAAAACATTTTAACAAGTGATTTGATATAATAAAAATTGAAAGCCCCTTTTGTGTTTGATCCTATTTTGTGAATCTAAAAAATTGTACTTCAGGAAATGCTTCGCCATATTGGACGGTTCGTACAAAATTGAAGAAATTATAATTGGAAAGAAAATCTAGCGAACACAAAAAAAATCTATAGAAGAGGTGAGAGTTGGACAGAAAAAAAAAGAATGTGAAAGGGAAACGAAAGCATGTTTTCAACAAGAGTCAAACATGTCGGGTGAAAATGCAATTACTGGCAATGGTGGTTGATAATATATCTGGTGCAAGAGATAGAATGTCTTGGGGAGAGAGTCAAGATGGAAGCTTCACTGTTAGGTCTGCGTACGCCTTCCTAACTCGGCAAAGAACTCCAACGGCGAACTTGACAGGTTTATTTGAGAGAATATGGCACGTTACGGCGACTGAAAGAATGAGAGTGTTTGGTTGGTTAGTTGGAAATCAAGCGCTAATGACAAACATGGAGAGGCAGAGCCGACACCTAAGCGAAACAAGAATATGTCAGGTATGTTGGGGAGACAATGAGTCTATTCTCCATATTTTACATGACTGCCCTGCGATGTATGGTATTTGGATCGACTCGCTCCAGCTAGTAGACGTAGACGCTTCTTGGAACAATTGCTTCTAGAGTGGCTATATGAGAATATGGGGAACAAAGCAGAGGTGAATGAATGTCCTTGGGATACCATCTTTGCTGTCGCTATATGGTGGGGGTGGAAGTGGAGATGTGGCAATATCTTCGGCTCAAACATCAAATGTAGGGATAGAGTACGTTTTGTTAAAGAACTGGCAAGGAGACGTTTGAAGCCCATTGGTCTTTGCGAGGAAATACGAATGTGAGAATGCGTGTGGAGGAAAACATTGTATGGACTCCGCCACTGGGGGAATGGATCAAGTTGAATACAGATGGTGCTTCACATGGTAATCCAGGGCGAGCGACGGCTGATGGTGCTCTCCGGGATAGCAATGGCAACTGGTGCGGGGGGTTTGCTCTGAATATAGGTATTTGTTCGACACCTTTAGCTGAATTGTGGGGAGTATACTATGGCTTACTCATAGCGGGGGAGCGGCGAATTACCCGGCTTGAGCTGGAGGTAGATTCGAAGATTGTTGTTGGTTTCTTAACAGAAGGGATTGAAGATATTCACCCGCTGTCCTTCCTTGTGCGTCTGTGCCATAGCTTTATATCGAGGGACTGGTTAGTCCGAGTGACTCATGTGTATAGAGAAACGAACCGACTTGCTGACGGTTTGGCCAACTATGCATTCTCGTTACCTTTAGGAATTTGCTTGTTAGACTCTGCTCCAGATGTAATAGGTCCGATTCTAATGGAGGACAATGTGAGGATTGGGAGAGCACGAATGGTGCTGATGTAGGGTAGTTTTATTGTTCAATAATTGCAGGAGACTCTGTCTCCGATTGCTTACCAAAAAAAGAAAACAAGAGTCATACATGTCGTCTCAAAATTGGCAGTAAAATATTAAGAGGAAAAAAAAGTGACGACTAACATGACGTTTCACATATCTATACAAAATACTATTGCACGTATTATCACCAACTATATATATTATGCATCCAAGTTGGTACCTTAGGTTTAAAAACGGAGAAAACGGTCACGAAAATACTCAACTATTGAGTTTTTGCCAAACAAAGTACAAACTCTTTACTAACCAAAAACATACATCAACATGTATTGACCAAGTCATTTTAGATATATCAATAGCCAACTTTAACACCAGTTTAATACTGTTAACTGAGATTTACTAATCTGTTAATATCATTTTACTAAAATTTAAAATACTTTAAATTTAAACTGAAAGGACGTCTTTTCACTAAAAAGAATGTAATTTGACACTGATTTGAATCAAACCTTGGTGGGAGTCGAAACCTAGGTGAGTCTCAACCACTACGTATGGCTTAATGGAGGTAAGGAATTGAAGGAGAAGAAAGAGGATGGTTGTGACAATGACCGTGAATGAGTTCTGATTAGCTCCCGAATGAAATTATGTGAACCGAGTTGTTATGGCGTCTTCGAGATCTTAGCGTACGTGAAGTCAGTGAGATCAAGTACTTGGGATGCGATGGAGGTTTACCAATCCGTCACTGCCATTTAAAAGCTACGGTAATTAGGGAATTAAGTTGAGCAGATGAAATTAGGCTTTAATTGAAGGATGTCTAGCTGTTGACCTGTTGATGAAAATTGATGATTCAGAGAAATGGGATATTTCAGAATCGAAGAAGATGATGTGCCCATTGATGAAGACGAATGAGTTTTACTTTGATAAACTAAAGTTGTTTTTAAATAGAATTTAGATTGATGATACTTGTCAAAGTGGTTGAGACTTGTAACTGGTTGAAATCCCAAAGTTCAATCCATGTTAGGGACAAATTAATTTTTTTAACAAACGACATCATTTCTAACTAATTTTTTGAGTATTTATGTGTTTTAGTACTTTTGGATATAACGGAATTTTAAATGTTGGTTAATAGTGTTAAATTGGTGTTAAAGTTAACTATTAATATATCTATGATGACTCGGTCAACACAAATTGATGATTTCGGCTTAATAAAGAGTTCGTTCTTTTTTTGGCATAAACCCAACAGTTCACAGTATTTTAATGATTATTTTCCCGTTAAAAAAGTGGATCCAGCAAAATAACTCATCTCCCTCATACATATAACATCTCTATCTCTCTCTCACACCCACAACAAAGATGGATAATTCATCAATCCTATGCTTCTTCGTCGTACTTCTCATTTCGTTTTCAAATGCTCAAAGAGAAGTTGGTAAGCTATACACTTGATCTTTTTTTTTTTTTTGCTTAAACTATACACTTGATCTTGATTCATTGTTTTCCATACAAGTTTAGTTTCTATTGGAAAACTATATTTTAGTTATGATTAATGGATGGATTATTGTAGAGGATGAGAGTGAATTCAGCTACGAGAGGAACAAAGAGAACGGGCCACATAAATGGGGGAACCTGAAACCAGAATGGAAAATGTGTGGAAAAGGAGAGATGCAATCTCCGATCGATCTTATGGACGAAAGAGTTAGAGTTGTTTCTCATCTTGGAAGGCTTACTAGAAACTACAAACCTTCCAATGCCACTCTCAAAAATAGAGGCCATGACATGATGGTATTATTACAAATTCATATATTTCTCATTTTTCTTTTATAAATCATGGAAGTTTCGGGTCTTTGCCCCATAACTTTTTTCCAATATCTAGAGTATTTGGAGTCAGTTTTTTAAAATATTCTGATTTAAAAAATACACTTTCATCTTAAAAGGAGTTTGAATCCATAGCATAACCAACCCCTTATATTACCATTAGTCCCCATTTTTGTAAAAGAGAATTTTTCATTTTTTTTATAACAGAAATAGATCTTCCACCGAAATTTAGAATATTCTCCAAAGTTTTTCATAATTTTTATATATACTTTTATTTGTTTTGTCGCAGCTAAGATTTAAAGAAGGACCAGGAAGTATTAAGATCAACGGTACTGAATATCAACTCCTACAGCTGCATTGGCATTCTCCCTCTGAACACACGATCAACGGAAAAAGGTTCATATAACAATATATTATATATAGTAAAGTTTTACTTTTTTTACGAATGTATTTTCAACTTCTTGATACTATTATATATAACTAGGCTAAATTTCCATATGTTATACGTTTACGGAGGCCCTACAAAATTTACAAGAAACAAATTAAAGAAAAATACAAACGACATTGACATTATTTTATTCAAAAATCTACCTTAAAAATGGCAGGTTTGCTCTGGAGCTGCATATGGTTCACGAAAGCATTACCGGAAGAATGGCTGTAGTCACAGTGCTCTACAATATCGGAAGGCCCGACTCCTTTCTTAGTTTGGTATAATTCGACCATCACTATGACTAATTATATATATATATATATAATATTTTAGTTTTCTAAATAATATTAGTTCTAATCAATTTTCTTCATTGTTTGTTTTGTTAGTTGGAAAGTAAATTGTTGGTGATTACAGATCAAAATGAAGCGGAGAAAAATATAGGAATGATTGATCCAAAGAAGATTGAGATTGGGAGCAGAGAATATTATAGATATATTGGATCACTTACCACTCCTCCTTGTACGCAAAATGTTACTTGGACCATCGTTAAAAAGGTTTATATATATTCACTCTTATTTTCCTAATTACTTTAGAGTGTGTGTTACTCTTTTAAATTTAGACTGTTTATACTTTATACTATCTCCTTTCGTTTATATTTATTTGCGTGATTTTATATAGGTAAGGACTGTGACGAAAAACCAAGTGAGCCTACTTCGAGTGGCTGTTCACGATGTGAGTTTTACTTAGATATAATCTACAACAATATATATATATCGAATTTTACGTATATGTGATAAGTGAAATATATATATGTTTTGCAGGATTCAAATACAAATGCGAGGCCTATTCAACCTACAAATAAGCGCATGGTGAAATTATACAGACCAAAATCTTCCTGAATCATAAATAATACATTTTATTTATTATTTTCTTACATTATACAGTGTAATTTATATAAAGTACGATATAAAATTTGTGTTTGTTGAATATCTTTTGGTGTCACATCTGACATCTATCTACGTTATTTTCACGACCTTCGACCTAAACTGTTTATTACTCTCAAAGAATTTATTAGGCCCACCACTGAAATAATTCTGGTATCTTTTATCTATACTGTCTTTGGTTCTACATTTGATTCTCGGAATGCTAATCTTTATGAAGTAATGATTGTGAAGGAAATTTCATTCATCCGAAATGATCTCTATGAATAAAAAGAAGGCGTTGTCATTTACTTTATAATCAGTTGGTTCAATGTCACATAATTAATGAAATTTACTTAAATTTCAAACGGCCATAATCACACATTTGCTAACATAATCTATAATAATACCCACACACATTTATGAGTATATCTACGGATACAGAAGCTACACAAGAGGAGCCTTACAAATCAACTTCAGGCCAACCCTTTGTGAAGCCTGAAACCACTATTGGTTGTGGCCACAAGGCCCACAACAACTCAACCAAAACCGGTTCAGGCATTGTTGGTTTAAGTTGGGGACTTTAATCTGGACTTTAATCTGAAATATCCTTCCGTACAGCCGAGAAAATCTAACTGCCTCTCTCTAATCTTACTCTGTCATTCCCTGCAATGAATTGACTGTTTACTTCTTAATGAATAAAAAAAAAAATCGAAAAAAAAAGAAAAAGAATTTCGGATGATTTGGTAGGAAATTTAGTTCAAACCAACCTAAAATTAATTGTCTAAACCAACCAAACCAACCACCAAAATTTTTGCACCTCGTCGTCTTCTTCCTCTCATGTTTCCACCATTGACAAAATCAGAGGCGTGAAATTGAAGGTTAGTTGTCGCTGTTTCTTATACTATTTTCGATTTCTTGATTGAATTATCAAGTTTATGTCATAGGCAGAGCAATTAATACATAGTTTCTTCTCAATTAGAGAATTTCATAGTAAAAAAAATTTTGATTTTTTTTTTGCTCATTGGAGCTGCTGAGCTAGTTGGGTAAGGCTATTAGAAAGTGATATTGTTAATTAAATATGATATATTGGTTAACTGAGCAATGAATCGTAATAACTAGTGATGATTCGTATGATGAACCAAACTTTCTATGTACTACTGGGTACAACTAGCACAACTGGACATATTAGTACGAGTAGGATCAACCAAACTTTTTGGGTACAACTAGCATAACTGGACATATTAAGTGAATTTAGTACGACTAGGATTAACCAAACTTTCTAGGTACTACTGGGTACAACTAGCACAACTGGACATATTAAGTGAATTAGTACGACTAGGATGAACCAAACTTTCTGGGTACTACTGGTACAACTAGCGTAACTGGACATCTTAAGTACGACTAGTAAAACTGGTACAACTATGATAAGATTACCTTACGATTGTTTTGTTCTTTTCAGGGGAAATGAGTAGCAGTGGTCGCACAATCATATGTTTTGATTATGGGGGGGTTCTATTCAAAAGATGGTGATAAAGTTATATGGAATTCTGTAGAAGATGAGATTCACACTTTAGTGATGAGGAAATCTTTAGAGGATGTCACTTATCTTGGATTAGTGGAGGGAATTTGCAGAAAGGTTTTGATAGATGCAGCTACATCTCAGCTGAAAATTAGTTACTATCCAATGGTCTTGAACACGAAGAAACCATCATATATTTGGAATGATGAAAATGTTTTTGGTTATCTACTACAAATGAGTAAGGATCAATGTAGAAGTGTTCTACATGTGGAGTTCATCAAGGATGTTGATCAAAGTCATGGAAGCGTGCATGTTTCAAGAGAGGATCATGGAGTTGATGTAGGTCCAAGTAATGATGAGCTGTTTTCTACCGCTAGAGATGGTTTAGAAATACCAGACAGTGAAATGCAAGACAATGAAATGCCAGACAATGAGATGCAGGAATATGATACAGATCCTCTACAAAGATATGAGCTTGTGTATGATGATGATACAGAAGTCAGACATTCTGATGGAAACTCGCAAGTAAGTCATGGATGGGAAGATGGTTTAGATATATATAAAGGTCAAGAATTTCACACTAGGCAGGGACTGCAAGCTCTCCTGCAGAAAGGTGCACATGAGAATGGTTTTGAGTATGAAACAAAAAAGTCTGATCCCACACGTTTCGTGGTAAAATGTTGGGGAGCAAAAGAGGGATGCAAGTGGGGTTTAAGAGCACTTGTGCGTATGAACTTAAATAGTTTCACTATTGTCACTTACAACAAGGTGCACACATGCTCTCGGGTTACTACAAGTACAATCAGACAAAAAAGAAAAGGCACACCACACTTAGTTGCAACTGTTTTGGCTGAAGACTATCCAGGTCGATTCGACACACCAGATCCAAAAACGCTGATCAATATGGTTCAAGGCAGGCTTGGCGTGAAAGTATCATACTCAACAGCGCTGAGAGGAAAAAACAAAGCTGCTAATGAGGTGCGGGAAAGTTCTGAGGAGAGTCATCAGTCTCTATATTCTTATTTGTACATGCTAGAGAAAGTGAATCCGGGTACACGGACTTGTGTGGAATTAGATGAGCAGAAAAGGTTTAAATACCTATTCTTTGCATTGGGAGCTTGCATAGAAGGGTTTCTATCGATGAGGAAAGTCATCATTATAGATGGAACCCACCTGAAGAACGTATATGGTAGAGTTCTAATCGTCGCTTCAGCTCAGGATCCTAATCATCATCATTATCCCATTGCTTTTGGTGTAGTTGATGGTGAGAAAGATGCAAGTTGGACGTGGTTTCCGAATCACTTGAAGTCAGTAACACCAGATGTCCCTGGAATGGTGTTTATTTCGGATAGGAATCCAAGCTTGATCAAGTCAATAAGGGAAGTGTTCCCTTTGTCTCAACACGGGTATTGTGTAAGGCATTTGTCACAGAATGTGAAAGGACACGTTGCCACCCACAGAGATGCATGTGCGAAGAAGTTCATCGAGTGCGCTAAAGCTTATACAGAGGTTGAGTTCGGAAAACTCTATAGTGCTTTTAGGATGAAATATCCATCTGATGCCGAGTATCTAGACAAAAGTGTTGATGAGAAAAAATGGGCAAGATGCTATTTTCTAGGAGAAAGGTACAACATAGATACCACCAATACTGTAGAATCTATCAATGGTGTTTTTGTAAACGCAAGAAAGTACTCGCTGTTGCCAATGATTGATGTAATTGTTGCCAAATTGGCTGAATGGTGGAACACCCATAGGCAGACTGCCGCTGAAGTTCCACTGTCACAAAAGCTTGTGCCTTCCGTGGAGAATGAAATGGATCTGAGATGTGTGGATGCAAAGAAACTCATGCTGCAAGAGTTAAACAGCTATCTCCATGAATACAATGTGATTGGGCTTGATGGGAAGAATTATTTGGTTGATATGACTAGGAAAACTTGTTTTTGCAAGTATTTTGATATAGACAGATACCCATGTGTGCATGCAATTGCTGCTGCCATCCATATGAGCAGAGATAGGGAACTTCATCTACAAGAGTTTTGCTCCAAATATTATTTGGTAGAGCTATGGGCATTGGCATACTCCAGGACAATCTATCCAGTTCCTCATATGCCTGAATGGGTTGTACCTGAAGAGATACAAGCACAAGAAGTCTTACCTCCGGAATATGAAGTAAAGAAAGGAAAACCGCAACAGAAAAGATTCCCATCAGCTGGAGAACATCGTGAAAGAGGAAGAGGAAGAAGAGGAAGAGGAAGAGGGAGAGGTGGACGTTGGGCTCAATGGTTTGGGATTGATGGTAGTGAAGAGTAATTTATGTCTTTGTTTTAAATTATTTGAACTATGTGTACAACTTTGTATGACCGAGACTTGTATCCATGTTATTTCTATCAGGTATGACTAGGCACCACTAGTACAACTCTATATTCTGCGTCTAATATGTCTGGTACGACTGGTGCGACTAGTACCACTCGTTTCAAGTACAACTAGTTCAACTACATTTTAGTTGTACTCAAGTCCAGCTGGAAAGACTGGCACGACTATGCTTTCTACAAAAATGTCAATAACACAATTTGTAAATGTATTTGTAAACATATTTCCATATAAAATAGGCCATAGAACATGTGCAAACATATTTGAACATTTCATAGTTAAATAAATTTGATCCACGAAAATGTTTGATCCATTAAAATGTGTTGTCTACACAATCTACCTTATACTTTTAAGGTTACTTTGTAAATCTTAACCACACAAACATGAAAACCATGAAAGTTTGTATTTTTATACTAGTTATAGCATTAGAATATTAGTTTATTTACTAAATTTTACAAGTACAGCTAAAAATATTTAATTTAGGTATGAGACTACTGATTATAAAATTTTACAACTTTATGTCTTTAGGGTACAACTCAAAACTGGGTACAACTATGTTATAAAAAACTGGATTCATATTTTTTTTTGACGGTGCAAATTTGCAAAGATATTTGATAGGGTCAGGTTTTACCCAAATAAAACTACTGCAAGTGCACAGCAAAAGCAGTTGTAGTACAAGGGGTTATCGAATCCCGAGGGAGTATGTAAACTACACTAGCGATTATAGATTCAGATTAAGCTAAGCGATAAATAATGAATGTAATGCAAAACAGTAAAATAAATGCAAGAGGGCGTTTTTATGCTTGTTCTTAAAGTTCAGAAGGCTAAAGGCGCTAAGTCAGGACAGTTCGCAGGTTAAATCTGAGAGTGTATAATGCATGCAATCAGAAACGAATTAAAACCGTCTTAAACATGAATCGCAAAGATATAACTAATCAATTCTCATTGTAGAAGTTATCTATGTCTAAATCACAGAGTTTCAAATCTCTTTGCAAACCCTAACAACCTAAACATGCAGTAATGATCAGGTTCAATTGTTCACAAAACTCCTAAGCCAAATCTCTTTGTACTAGGGCGTTTTGCTCAT